AGAAGTAAGTGTTCTGAACCACTGTGCCATCTCTCCAGCTCCCACTTTTTTTCCTTTTTGACTATAAATCTTCCCTTAAGAAAGCTATTTCCTACATGGTCCCCTGGAGAAGGGGAAAGGGTCAAGATCCCCTGAGCAAATTGGGAGCACAGGAAGAGGGGAGAGGGAGCTAGGAGAATGAGAAGGGGAGAAGAGGAGGGGTGCTGAGGACATGAGGGAGCAGAAAGGTTGAGTCAGGTGAAGAATAAAGAATGGAGATACCATAATAGAGGGAAACATTTTAGGTTTAAAGAGAAATCAGGAACTAGGGAAATGTCTGAGGATCTACAAAGATGACACCAGCTAACAATCTAAGCAACAGAGGAGAGGCTACTTCAAATGCCCTCCCCTGATAATAAGATTGATGATTGACTTATATGCTACCCGATATCCCTCACCCAGCAGCTGGTGTAAGTAGAAGCAGACACCCACAATTAATCACTGAACTGAACTGGAATCCAGATGCAGAGAAAGATGAGTGAAGAGCAAAGGGGTCCAGATCAGGCTGGAGAAACCCACAGAAACAGCTGATCTGAACATCGGGGAACTCTTGCTCCCCAGACTGATAGCTGGGATACCAGCACGGGACTGAACCAGACCCCAGGAACATGGGTTTCGGTGAGGAAACCTCAGAAATCTATGGGACCTGCTGTAGTAGTTCAGTACTTATCCCTAGTAGAGGTGTGGACTTTGGGAGCTCATTCCACATAGAGGAATACTCCCTGAGCCAAGACACACGGGGGTGGGCCTAGGCCCTAATCCAAAGGATATGATAAACTCTGAAGACACCCGATGGAAAGTCTCGCCATCCGGGGGAGCAGAAAGGATATGTGATACATAGGGTTTTAGTTGGGGGTGGTGGTGGTAGGGTAGGATGGGAGGGAGAAGGGAACTGGGATTGTCATGTAAAACAATCTTGTTTCTAATTCAAATTAAAAAAAAATCTGGGGGTGGGGGAAGAAAGCTATTTCTAAACTGGGGAACCATTCACAACGGTTCCTCTGCCATTCCAGTTCTGGTTTTGACTTACTGGAGAATACAGGGACAGCCTCAAACACAATGGGTTTAGTACTCTACCATGTGAGCCTAGTACTCTATCAGCACTTGGCTGTACTACAAGATAGCAGTCGATATCCAGGATCCAGAGTATGATTAGTGTTTGCCTTAATTGGACCAGATCTTGGTGAGACACACTCCAAGTATGTCTGTATGTCTATAGATACATGTTTATTTTATTTTGTATGTATGAATATTTTGTCTGCATGTATGTATATGTACCATGTGCATGCCTAGTGCCTGAAGTGGTCACAAGAGGGGATCAGATCCCCCAGAACTGGCATTAGGAATGGTTGTGAGTCACCAGATGGATGCTGGGAAAAGAATCTGGGACTTCTGCAGGAGCAACAAATGCTCTTAGCCACTGAGCCATCTGGTCAGCCCTCACATTCCAACTGTCAACAACACTTTCATCCAATGGCTATTTCATTCTTTGGAAACATGTGACAATGTTGAAGACATAGTTGGCTGTCACAACTGGGAGACACTCCTGGCATCTGGTAGGTGGAGGTCAAAGATCCTACTAGCCATTCTTTAATACATGGAACTTCTCCTAAAATGAGAATTATCCATCTAGGAATTCCAACAGTAAGAAATCTTGCTTGCTATTTGCTTTATTTAAACTCATTTATGGTTACCCATTATAATCCTGCCACAAAGCATTTATAGAAGATGGCTACAATTTTTAACTGAGTCTGAACAAAAACTGGAGCCTTAAAACTGATGTCTAGTGGCCTCTTAAGGTAGACTGCAGCTCTCTGGTTGGCTACCAGCATTCTCCAAATGACACTGACCCCTTAATATGGTGTGAGCTGAAGTAGAGGGTCTGAATACTTATCACCAACCAGTTTTGAGTCATCTGAAATCATGAGGTGATTGTCCTTCTGTTTACCACTTTCACACTAGTTTAAGAAAGTTCGATTTTGAAGCTTGTGGATTTCTATGAAATTAAATGTCCATATTCAGGAATACTTCCCTAAGTGTGAGATGAATTTCACAGACATTTTATTAAACTGTAGGAATTACTCAAGAGAAAGAGTAATAAAGAAATTACCTGAAGGTATCACACCAGTCTCATGGCCATGGAGAGGAAAGATTTCAAACCAAAATTAAAGTACATTATTCTCTACCCTAATTAGTCTTTAACATTTTGCCTCTAGCTTGAAGCATTTTTCATATTCACTGTAATTTCTCTTGATGGGAAAATGGTTTCTCTCAAATCAACTACTGTGATATTAACCAGTAGAACGTTTGCTAAGGAAAGGCATTTAGCGATCACATCTTTTCTAATCTAAGTGCATACCAGACAGTTTTTTTAAAACCTTCATACCCATAAATATTTTTGTAAATAATAAACTTTAAAAGAGCTCAAAATTTCAAACCTGAAGTCCATTTCTATCATACATGACCTCTTCAAAGACTTTTAACAGTAGATTCACATTTTATTGGGAAAATATAGAACCCTTAAAGTACCCTGATACTCTGTCTCTGGGGAGCCATTTTCCTTTCTAAGTTATGTGCAATACAGAATTTTCATGAGTGCTTGGAATAAAGAAAACCTCTTGAAGAACAACTGCAAAAATGGGAACACCCTTTCAACTGGCACAATTCCAACCATTTTTTTGAACAGTGTTCATCATTTTCTTTCAAAATACATTTAAAAACTTTGATTTCATATTTCCTCAAGACAGTTGAACTAGTCAAGTGGCCTACAATCATTCACAATTAGAACTGGTGGGTTTAATCAAGATTCTAACTTATATAACTGTCTCTTTTCTTGGATCACCACAAGCAGAAAGTTCTCATGGAATCTGAGCATCACTGAAGATTGTTAGGGGTCATAGAGAAGAATCTACTTAAGCAGGAACATTGGAAAATTCAGGGTCCAATTCAACAGCAACCAATATCATTTAAGTGAAGGACAACAAAAATGGGCCACAAAGAAATTCCTGGAAATAAGGTCAGCAGGAAAATGAAACAGCTATCTCCATGACATTCAGTCAGCAGAACCTTCCAAGCACCTAGATAAATTCAGATACTCTCCTCCTTTTCAAATTAATTCTTCAACACTGCAATCTTTAGACAGAAAAAAAGAGAAACAAATAATCTCAGCCCACAAACTATGACAAAGCTCTTTTTTGTTGTTCTGCCAATATCCTAAGAAAGCACAGACTTCAACTCTCATTGAAATGTTTTCCGTGGTTGTTCCTCATCCAAGATACGTTCTTTTCTATGTGTGATTAGAAGAGGGATCACAGGTTGAAGAACGAATAGGGAAATAACGTAGGAAGATTAAGTGGAGATAGCAGAAACGGAGACGACCTGCAAAGGTCAGATTTTGTCTGAAGAGAATGGCCAAGCAATTGTATTTCTGCAGGGATAAAATTCTAGATCCTCAAATAATTTCAGCTGGAAATATAAACTTGTGGGCTGGGATTGTATCTCAGTGGTATGCCATTTACCTAGAGCATGCAAGGCCCTTAGTTTAACCTCTAGCATCGCAAAAAAGAAATGTAAATTTATATGTCAAAAATTCCTACATTTATATAATATTTCTCTGGCTAGACAAACCATACCTATAAGACAGACTTCACATGCCAGTTTGGTACATCAATATGGATGGGACAGTATTAATTGTCAAGTTGACACAATTTAGAATCACCCAGGAAGAGTCATAATGAGGGATTGTCTGCACGGGGTTGGCTGGTGGGCATGCCTCAATTAAGTTAATTGGTGTGGAGACATCCAGACCACTGAGGGAGGAACCGTTTGCTAGGCAGAGTCCAGAACTGCATAAAGGTGGAGAAGCAGAGTTAAACACAAGCAAGCATGCATATTCATCCTCTCTGCTGCTGACTGTCGATGTGATATGACTAGCTGTCTCAAGCTTCTGCCACAGAGACTGCTCTGCAATGCGAGCTGAAATTGTGAGCTAAAATAAACCTTTACGTTCCAAGGCTGTCTTTCTTTTCTTTTCCTTTTTTTTTTTTTTCGTTTTGCAGAGTACTTTATCACAGAAACAGAAATGAAAGTAGGACAATGGACAAAGGAAATGGAAAATGGCTAATCAGAGAGAGGGTGGAAGAACCACTTCTCTGGTTATTAGTGGATTCTTGGGTCTTAATTACAAAGTACTTTTCCTGAAAGCATTATCACACTTAAAGTTTCTGACACACAACGTCATGCTGTTTGAGCTTCTAAATACTCAGCCAGACAGGGGGCTCTCTCAAGAATGGAATGGTTCAGGGGAAGACAATGGTAGTTAACACTTTTAAGATCCTAGCTGTCTCTGAAGTCATTATCAGGGAGATGCTAAGAGGGTCCCGCTTACAGATGTGTTGCCAGGCTGACTGCAGATTTCTGGAGGAGAAAACACCAAGTACTATGGAATGCAAGACAATGGCTGGGTATCACTGGGGAAAATGCAAAACAGAAAGCAAAGACAAAAGATATTCTCATCAGGCTCATAATGTTTACAGCCTGTGTGCAGTGCCAGGAATATCTTAGGGAAAAGCAATGTCTTTATAAAGTAAGGTCAAGTTTAATATTTAAACATAGCATATACCCTTGAGAAGGCAAGTCCTCATTTCCTTTATAAAGAATCTTATTTTCTGACCATTCATATTGATACTATCAAACTTCTCCCCACACCCCGAAACATAAAGTCTAATATTTAACATTTCTAAGATGTTTCTAGACAATCCACAAACAGGTGACAACGACAATACGGAATGAATTAGTGATGGATTAATCTAGGCTCAGCTCCATTTCTCATTGATGCCTGGGATATCTTTATCTCATTTATTGCCAAACAACCCTGAATCAGCAGAGCGACCTTTCCCTTCTAAGCTGGGATGTGGGAGCACTGAAAAGACAACACTTAAAGCTAACAGCAAGATGGCTACCTGCTCAGGCTTCAGCCCCGGGGGAACCCAGGCGTACTCTTCCAAGGCACAGCCTGAGTCATCATCTGAGGTCGAGTTCCTCTGGAAGTCAAACATGAGTTTGCTGATGGTCTTCTCCATCTCCAGCGGCATCACTGTTACCATGTGCTCCTCCTGGGGACACTTGCAGTGTAGGCAGATCTTCCTGCAGACAGCAAAGACAGCAGGTCAGAAGGAAGAAAAAAGCCATAGTTTGTTCAAGAGGCTGCTAGTCACCAGCCTTTGGATTCCAACCCATAAACACATTCACCAGCCACAACCTAGAGAATACAGGTTTATAAAGGGACACAGCACACAGCACATGAAAGCCATTTAGGAGATCAGGGACAACCAGATGAGCATGCTGATGATGTTGACACAGACCCAGCCTCTTGTTCCAAATCCACACACACACAAACACACACAGAGAGACAGACAGACAGACACACACACACACAGAGACAGACAGACAGACACACACACACACAGAGACAGACAGACAGACACACACAGAAAGACAGACAGACACACAGACACACACACATACACAGAGACAGACAGACACACAGAGACAGACACACATGCACACACAATCATCATCATCATCATCATCATCATCATCTAGATATGGACCATGACCACATTTATAGCAATAAATCCACACACTAACCAGAAATATTACTCGATTTAACAAGCACTGACATGTTCCTTTTTTTTTTTAAAGTTCCTAAATCATGCAAAACAGAAAACAAACAAACAAAAAAGCAACAACCCAGCAACAAAACCAAATCAGGTTAATCAGGTTATAAAAAGAACCATAGGAGTTATTTTTTTCTTTAGGAGTAAGAATAGTTTTTCACTAAAACAAATGTGGCCCCAAGATCTTCATAGGAAAATAATATCACTGCCATTAAAGGTTCCTGTTTCTGAGTCTTAAACTCAAAATGTACCATTGTTTGTATTTATTTTATATAACTTCACACATGTGAATTCCTTTTTCCCCCTTAGACAGAGATAGGGGGTGTCCTTGGTTGATGTTTATCTTGTTTTGTAAGATGGTGTTTCTTATTGGCCTAGAGTCCACCAAAAAGGTTAGACTGGTGGCCAGCAAGCCCCAGCGATCCACCTGTCTTAACCTTCTTCTCCCTCCCCAGTGCTGAAATTACAAGTGTGTGCCACCATGCCTGGCTTTGTTCCACCTCCTCAGCTGAGTTTCCAAATTTTTCCATAGCACCAGTCAAGGATGCAAACTCCTCAAACTGAGCATTTCCCTCAAGGTTTCCAGCTGCTCTCTTAACCCTGTCCCTATCTAAACACTGTAGCAATGAAAAGGAAAAGTCAACACACACCCGTTTCTCTCTTTTACCAATAAAAACCAGAATAGAATGGAGGAGGCAAACTTTAACAAGCTATTCCATGCGTACGCTGATCTTTTTGTAGTGTGTTAGAAAGGCAATGAAAGAACCCAGGATTCTAATCGCCACATGTGTCTGAAATTTGTGACAACAGCTTTGTTAAGATAATCCTCATAGCACAGAACCTACCCTTCTAAAGCATATAATTCACTAGCTCTTAATATAGTCAAAATTTCACAACCACCACTAATTTTAGACATGCCCACTAAACCCATGAGCATGAACAGTACTTCTCATAGCCCAAGCTCACATACCCTGACAACCACTAATCTTTCTGTCTCTGTTGGTTTTGCCTATTTTGGACATTTCATATAAAGGAACCATACAAAATATAATCATTTGAAACTAGCTTCTTTCACATGAAATAATGTTATACTTTATCCATGCTGTAGCATACATCAGTCTCTTGAATGCTTTTATTTATTGCTGATAAATATTCCATTGTGGGAATGTATTGCATCTGTGCACTCATCAACTGGTAGATATTTGGACTCTTCATTTTTGGAACAATTGTAATTTTAATGTTGAGGTTCAAGATGTTGTATAGATCTATACAATCACTTCTCTTGGGCATATACCTAGCAATGGAATCACTTCATCACATGGTAACTTTATGTTCATCATTTTGAGGACCTGTCAAATTATATCCAAAATATCTAAACAATTTGAAGTTCCTACCTTCAATGAAGGCAGATTACAATTTCTCTAACTCCCGCCACATGTATTATGGTCTACTTTGTTGACTGTGGCCACCCTAGTGGATGTGATATGATATCTAATTGTGGTTTTGATTTTCATTGTCTCAAGGGCCAGGCTATGGAAGATGATCATCTTCTTAAGTGATTATAATATGCCTTCTTTGGAACTTGCTGGAAGGAATCCCTAAAGGGAGGGCAGAATGAGGAGCCAAAAGAAGGCCTGGCTAAGCCCTAATCACAAATATTACAGACTTGATTGCACATGGAATAGCTGTTCACTCCTGAACAATAACAGCAAAATCACTCAGAAAAAGCAAAGTCAAGGAGGAAAAAAGGAAGAAAGAAAGAAAATAAACCCAGTAAATCAAAACCACAAGGGCTTTATCTGTCTTCTCTGCTAGCTGCCAGCCCTCTACTCCTCATTTATAATTAACTGGAGCTCCCACAGCAAGGCATCTTTATTTGCAAAGAATCTGGAACCTTTGAGTGATTCCCTGACAACCACTGGAGAAGCTAATTTAATAATATCCATTTACAAGTTGGAAACCCAAGTCTGAGGTGCTTTGAAAGGAGCAGTGAGACAGAGGCAAAGCCAGGAGGCATCTCTGGTTCCTCAATCTCTCTCTTCCTTTTTGAAAAATACAGTGGCAGCTAACAGCTTTCTCTTTTAATATACTAATTAAATAACTTCACTCAAATAAAGCATAATCAGGAGTGTGTGTGTGTGTGTGTGTGTGTGTGTGTGTGTGTGTGTGTGTGTGCATGGATGTAAAAGCATATATTTATGATATGAAAATATAAGATTTGGATTTTATTTAAAAAATACACATTTATGAACATAGACCCAGCTAGTAAGGCAGAATTTCATTAAATGCACCTGTGTGTATGCTTCAGTACGCACACTCACACATACACACACAGAATGCATTGGTTTCATTCTGTCAGAGTTGACATTCTACCGCTACATAATTGGATTTGTCAATGACAGGTTTCCAAGAAATCATCCCTGATTCAGAGAGTGGAAATGCTACGTTCACCTCCCTTCCCAGCCTTTGCCCCCCATAACCTTTCCAAATGCCTCACCACATCTGCAGTGATCAATTCATTTGGTTCTGTAGCATGGGATCCACAACCCCCTCTTTTACAGGTTATACAATATTGTCAAGGGGATGCCATTTCCTGAACTATCTCAGCATAGTCCACCCAGTCATTTCTACCAGCAATCACAGTGTTTGCATGAAGACTAATGATTTATGCCAATTAACTGACTTGCATGACCTGGAGGACCTCATTATAAATGGACGGGAGGGTGACTTGTGAGGGCAAAGGTTCTACCTTGCTAGTTAATACTTCTGACAGATGCAGAGATCTGGCTTTGGAAGTGATTATAAACAGCTTTAAGTTCTCTTTTTCTCTCCCCTTTACCCGTGGAAAATTTCCCATTTTCCATTTATTGAGAATTTTTTTTGTAAAAGAACTTATATGTGGAAGATTCATATATAAAATTGAGCTGTCTAAATTGAGCTACAGGAAGAGCCATAAAGCCCAACCTCTCTCTCCAAACTCCAGGCAAGTCTGTAGTTCCCTCCCATGCTTGGGTTCCAAAGGCACAAGTCTGAAGATGATCGTATTCCCTTGATCCTCTAAAGTAATTCCTAAGGTCTACCAAAATAGTAACTGTATACTTTATAACTTGAAAGATGAAAAGAAATAAAAATGTTTCTGGTAGATAACTCACAGTGCATGCGCGCGCGCACACACACACACACACACACACACACATTAACTCTTGAATATGAAAGTCCTCATAAATAATGAATCTGGTCACAGGAAACTGTCCATCTTGTTGCCACGACATCGTAACAGGAGACACTTGGGGAATAGAAGCCATATCCCTGTGATAGATTAGATAGTTCTCAATAAGGGCACATGACTGGGCATTTTCATAAGAATGCCAGTGGATCACCAGGCAGTAGTCTCTTGAACATATTTGGAGGATGTTCTTCTGTAGGCAGTCTCATGGGGGAAAGAAGTCCTTTAGATCAGTCTGAAACAGTGTAATTTCTAACAATAGGCTTGGTGGGCCAAGAAACCCAGGCAATAAACACTTTTTGAGCTTTTTCAGGAAGATTTATGTCAACCCAAAATAATTGTCATGTTGGAAACTCTTATAGAACTCAACCCACCTATCATTCATCTGGGTATCTTGTATGTAGAAACATCCTGTTGAGAGGCAAGACTACATCTGTTGCAACAGTAGCATCTCTGCTACAACTCTGCCATCTGCTCTCTTGCTTCCCACCTCCCCATGGAACCCTATGGGGTTCCATGGTCTGGAGTCCAAGGCCAGATCAGGTTCAGGCTACTTGCATTTGTTTAGGATTATAGCAGGCTGCTTAAAGCATCTTAGGCCCATTGTAAACCAAATGACTAAGAGGAGGATTCAACAAGGCCATATCTCAGGCAACAAGCTGAATGGTCAGCACATAAGCCTCTATTAAAGGCAAAAGGCTAACATAACTCAGAGGTATCCACAACTTTTCCCCAACTGACAAATGTGTCCCTAGGTATTTAAATTCTCCAGTTACTATCATACCAAAGACAAAAGAATCATCCCTTTCTTCATAGTAATAAAGAGGAAAGAGATTTTTTCTGCTTATTACACTTATCATAATTTTAAGTTACTGCTTTTGTCTCCTTAACATAAAATTAATGTAGAAAGAAGTCACAAATTACAGAAAAAGTAATGAGGAAAAACATTCTAAACACTCACAATCCCAAAGATAATCACTGTTAAACAGAAACAGCTGCTGGACCATTTCTTCCTTAGTACTAAGATATGGAGATCAGACTTCAATCTTTGTATTCCCATGAACCAAGGAATAAGACTCTGGCCAAGACAATGAGACACAAGACACACACACACACACACACACACACACACACACACACACACACACACACACACACACCATTCTCAGCAAATAGATGTACATTATTCAGCGAAGAAACCTAAGTTTGTTCTGATCTAGTTCCCTGAACCAGGATTCAGA